CCAGTACTGGGAGGCAGAGGTGGGCAGATCTCCCTTAAGTTTGGGACCAACCTGGTATACATAGTGAGTTCCAAGCCAGCCAGGGGTATACAGTAAGAGCCTATCTAAAGAAACACACACACACACACACACACACACACACACACACACACTTCTGTTTGGTTTGAAGATGCATAGATAAAATCGTCACATTTAATATCTTAAAGACTGGCAACTTCAAAAGGATGTTTACCCACAAATAACAAAATGTTGACACAATTATCTGATCCTGGCCTCTGTCCTTGTCAAACCATTCACACTTGGAGAAATATTCTATTCCCACTGTGGCCTATTCAAGGATCAGGTGACCCAAACTGCTGTGATCATTTAAATGATACATTCGAAACTGAACTGGAAATCTAAACTAGAACTGTTCTGTGGCTGTGTGTTTAGTCATCATGAATTGTCTTTTAGTCCTCTGATAGAATAGTCTTTAGATTGATGGCCTTCTTGCAAAAGATGGCTTTTATGTCTTCTGGATTCATATGTTTTATGCTGCACATTTTCTAAAGTACCAAACAAAAGCTCATGTTGTCTGGTACTTGGGACCCTCAGCACATAGATACAGAGAGAGAGACGAATATCCTTGTGTGCTTATTTTCACTGCCCTGGTTGAAGTGATCACAGCCTCATGGGCCCCCAAACCAAGAACCAAGCAGGAAGCCTTGGAGCAGCATTCTGGAGGCCCTAGCCATTGAAATCAGGTGAGAAAGGGAAACAAAGGGTGGTTTGATTGGTTAGCAACAAATGAAACTGTCCCTATTTACAGATACTAAGGCTGTTTACATGTAAAATCTCAGGCTGGGGGGCGCTTTCAATGAAAGAGTGGTCGTCTCTAGAAGCACAGACACAGGCAGTCTCAGGGACGCCACAAAAGAAGTCCTACAACCAAGGAATTAGTAAGGTCTAGAATATATGTCTATTATAAGAAAGTTATTGTGTTCTTTCTACCTGACCTCAGCACTCAGGAAAGTTGTGTGGACAACAGACTGACATATTTGTCAATGGAGCCAACCAGTCTCGGACAGACTTGGGTGGTTAGTCTTCATTGTCACCCTGATTCGATTTGGAATCACCTAGGAGACACACTCTGAGCATGTCTGTGAGAGTGTTTCTAGAAAGACTGAACTCAGGAGTGAGGACCCACTCTAAGTGTGAACAGCACTATCTCAAGGGCTGGGCCCCAGATGTAATAAAAGGGAAGCCAGCTGGTCACCATGCTTCTTAGCTGTGGACCGTTTTCTCTCCATGTGTCTGTACACACTCACTACAGATGCCAGAAGAAGATAGGAGATGCCTGGGACACAGCAAAAGGTTAGCTTCCATGTAGCTTTTGGGAATGAAATCTGTGTCCTCTGAAAAAACACAGCTGCCTCTCATTCCTCTGCCAGCCATCCTGCCTTTACGACTTGTATCCCTCAAACCATACGCTAAAATCAAATAGAGCTTTCCTGGTTTTTGTCAGTTGTCACTGCAAGAAACATAACTAATAAATCACACCTACAGCACAGGTATGTTATTTTGTTTGTTTTTTTAAACAAAGGTACCAAAGTAATCAGGCAGAGGAAAATAAACTTCAACAAATAATACGAACAATTGGAACAAGCAAGGAGAAAATGAATGTCAACTCAAGGGACTTACTGGGATATAGCTCACTGGTGGAGCGCTTGCCTAGCATGTGCAAAGCTGTGGGTTCAAACACACACACACACACACACACACACACACACACACACACACACACACACACACACCACATACACACACACACATGCACATACACAACTAAGTGTAAAACAAAACTAGAACACATGGGAGAGAATGTCATGACCACAGAATAGGCAAAAATTTCTTAGATAGGTCATATAAGTGACCAAATAAAATGGCTTCACCAAAATTTTAAATCATTTTGCTTCAGATTCATTCAGGAAAGTACATAGCCCATCATAAGGGTTTTGTTGTTGTTTTATTGTACATTAGGGGCAATACCCAGGGTCTGGAGCATGCTAGCATTGAGTCAGCCTTCAAGTAGATAGTTGGTTGGAGACAGAATCCTTCTTCCACAAGCTCCAGGCTGGCTTCAAACTCACCAGTTGTACTTCTGACCCGCCTACTTCTACTCAGTTCTGGGATTTATGTGCTCTGTTTTGTCTGTTTTGTTTTCTTTTTTTCCCAACTTTTTTTTATTTGAATTAGAAACAGGATTGTTTTACATGACAATCCCAGTTCCCTTCTCCCACTCATCCTCCCCTACCCACCCCCAACTAAAACCTTATCTGTCACATATCTTTTCTGCTCCCCCTGGATGGTGAGGCCTTCCATAGGGTGTCATCAGAGTCTTTCATATCCTTTGGGATAGGGCCCAGGCCCCACCCCCCACCCCCTGTGTGTCTTGGTTCAGGGAGTATCCCTCTGTCTGTTTTGTTTTTCAAGACACTATCTCACTATGTAGCTCTGCCTGCCGTAGATGGCCTCAAACTCACAGTGACCCACCTGCCTCTTCCTCTCAATTGCTCCGATTAAAGGTGTGCACTATCACTGCCCGTGTCACACTGGGGTTTACGTGGTGCTTGGAATTGAACCGTAGCCTCCTTCGTGGTAGGTAAGCATTCCACCAAATCCCCAGGCATTAAGCACTTTTTACAAACTTTTCTTTCTTTCTTTCTTTCTTTCCTTCTTTCTTTCTTTCTTTCTTTCTTTCTTCCTTTCTTCTTCTTTTTTTTAAACCAACCCATCTCTAGAAATAAGATATATTCATCTCCCTGAACCCCCTATCCTACTCCTCCTTTTCACACTGACCCTGAAGGGAACCACATTTCCTGACTTTGTGTGTGTGTGCACTCATGAATGGTGCTGAGGATAACACTCAGGGCTTGTTCATTCTAGGCAGAGGCTTTGTCACTGGATCATGTCCCTAGTCCCTTTAATGATGGGAAGTAAGAGACCAAACTGAGTGGGGTTCCCTGGAGTGAGGGATAGAGTAGGAAATCCAAACAGTTCCTTTGTGTTTCACACCTTTCAGTTTCCAGGTTTCCGGTCAAATACCATGGGGATCCTGCATTCCTCTGCCCCCTTGCCAACAGTAGCATCTCTTTCCAGATGTTGAGGGGTTCGGAGGAGGTGTAGGCTTTGGGGAGCGCCAAGGAGGACTGACCAAACTAGTCCAGGAGGTGTGTGGGCCTCCCAGACAGTCCAGGCCAAGCCTGCCTGGACCTCTTACCTGTGGGCTGGCCAGCCCAGGTGTCCACCGCCTTCTGAGGGGAGGGTGTGGTTCTCTGCTCATTAAGGAATTTCCACTCTGGAGGGATGACAAAAGGCAGTCTTTGGGAGTGTCCTTAACAAATCAAAGGAATCCTCTCATTAGTGGGAGGGAAGCTGAGGGCCATTGTCAGTCAGCAGGCCCTGAGTCAGTCAGGGAAAAAAAAACCAAGCCCACATGACCCATCTCCAAGGCTTGAACCTGGGTAGACAGGTGCCCGGAGTCATCTCAGAGATGAAATCTGGACAGGCCGGAACCCCAAGTCTTAACAATGGCTTTCGTTGGGCCGTCGTCTGCTGCGCCTACGCTTTAGCTCTAGGGAGTGTGTGTGTGTGGGCACTGCCCTTAGGGACACTTCCCTGACAGGTCTCATGCCATCCTTGGAGTCTGCAGTGGAGGCTCTGCCCCAAAAGGAGGAAACCCCGTACGTGCCTCCTCTGCCCTCCAGATGCTCTTCTGTTGGGGCACGCTCTTGGGTCAGTTCTCAGGGGGCTGTGAGTCCAAGGAAGGACCCAGAGGAGGACCCATTCCTCTGGCTGGCTGGCATCTTTTGGGCATCCAAATGTGTAACAAATCACAACCACCTCCAAGGACCAGAGCACAACGCAGCCTGCTCAGCGACACATCTATGACTCTGGGAATCTCCCGTTTCTTCGATGTATCATCTCAGATCATTCTTGTCTTTTTTTTTTTTTTTTTTGAGACAGGCTCACCCTATGTAGCCCTAGGTGTCCTGGAACTCACTAACCAGACCAGGCTGGCCTCAATTTCACAGAGACCCTCCAGCCTCTGACTCCTGGTGCTAGGATCAAAGGCTGCCCCACCACTCCCCTTATTGTTTCCATTGTTTTAGACAAAGAACAAGAGAGCAGTGATAACAGGTGACCTGTGATTAGGTTATCACAGGTCTTGTATCCTGTGTCATCTCTTCTGATAGGTCTCTGCAGGCCTGAGGTTTCTGCAATGATCATCCAAGAATAAAGTCAGACCAGCATTCTCTGGACCGTGCCTGTGGCCAGCAAGAGCAAAGCACTGCCTACTGCCTGAAGGAGGGAGCTTCATCAGGCTTGCAGTGAAGTGAGCTTCTGGCTGTGTCCACCCCTTCCCTGGCCCCCCAGAATCCAAGTACTCTGACCTCTCCACACACACTGTGGCAAAATAAGCATCCCCATACCCAACACATAAATAAATTAATCTAATCTAAAAAACAGATCTGTGCATTAACAGATTTATTTTTTTATTTTTATTAGTTCAAGTTAGGGAACAAGCTTGTTTCACATGTAA